TCTTTTATAGTAATTATTTTGTTGGATGGGATCATCATGAGCCCCAGAGGGACAGCTATCACCTGGTTTTGCATGAGGGAACAGAGGCCCAGAAAGGCCCAGGATTCGAGCAGCCAAGTTAGTAGCAGAATCAAGACTCGAGGCCACACATCTTCTGCCCCAATACCCGGCTTCCCTCCACACCACGCAGCCTCCCTATGAGTCAGCCATCACGAGTTCCAGGCACGGCACCTCATGTCCCCTTAAAGCCACAAGGTGCCTTCCCTTGACCTTGTTTACAGCCAGGACAATGGCCCCATTATTTACCGTTTTGCTCCTTCTCTCTGGCAGGACCTGGGGCTGTGATCCAACCTTGTCCGTTTTGCTTGAAAGCAAACCCCATTCTGATTCCTACCCTAATATACATTGTATTTAAATTGCACTAAGTTGGAAACAACTCAAATGCCCAACCATAGGAAAATGGTTAAGAAAACTCTTGTGGCAATATGATGGAACACTTGGGAAATGTGGTAATGTGTTTTGAAATATTGTAATTTGATCAGAGCAGAACACAAAATGACAAGCCGATCACAGGTATGTAAAAGCGAGATTGTGCAAATTGATAAGAACCAGAAGTGAATTAGAGATGTAAAGAGATTTTTATCTTCCCAGCTTTTATTTTTCTAGAGAGTTTATGTTCGAAACAATAATAAATGCAAAATAAATAATAAATATGATCATAATAAGCAGAGGAGAAGGCAGAGAATGAGAAAGAGTCTTTCTCAGCCCCTGAGGAACTGCCCATCTTCTCGAAAGGGCTGGAATTATAGAGAGAGGAGGGAGGGAAGCTGGAAGTAGGGAATCAAGGACCTGTGGGAAGGAAGAGCCAGGTATGTATGGGGAGCCAGGGTTGGGAGTCCCCTGGGAACAGCGGGGCAGATTGGTGATCCGGAATTGTGCTCCAGGGGCACCCTTCGCAGCTATCGCGGTGTCAGCGGTGCCTCCCGGAGTTCTGCGCCATGGCGGTTCTGGGACAGAAAGAAGATGGGAGGAGATAAAGCCACTGAGCAGTTCGCCATTGGACTAAAGAGAGACCCGGCCCACAGGAAGTGAAGGGCCTACGCGGAAAGCACAGACTTGCTCTTGTGGGGTGTTAGCCTGGCAGGGAGCAGATGGGTGTGAACGGTGCCCACCTAGGCTCCCCTGGGACTCAGGACAGTGCACTCCACAGACATTTCCAACTCAATATGTCTCAAGCTGACTCCTTATCTCAGGAACCCTTCCGCCCCGACCTGCTTCTCTTCCCATATTCCATTCTGGTGGACGTCACCAACATCCACCCATGGCTTACCAGGCTCTGCAGGACCTGGCTCTGGCTTCAGACCTCACTCCGCCCTACTTTGCACCCTATGCCCCACCCGCGCTGAAATATTTAGTTCTCGTAATATGCCAAGCTGTTTTGTTGCCCTGCCTTTTCTCTTACTACTGTTTCAGCCTAGAATCCCTGCTCTACCTTGTCCAGCTGCTTCTCTGTCAAGAGTTCAGCTCAAGCAGCATTTCCTTCTACGAAGCCTATCCTGCTCATCCCTCCATCCCTATCCCACCCCACCCCTTCCTTTTGTCCCCAGGTAGAGATCATGACTTCATTTGTTCCTGTAGTCCAATATCTAGTGCTGCTCCTGGCATATTTTCAGCATTTTATGTATATTTTAAATTATTCAATTTAAAATAAAATTAAAAAAAAAAAAGAATGAATATAGAGGGTAATGTGTGTGTGAGGGGGGGCGCGAACAGAAGAGTGAATTCGATTAAACAGACCAAACCCGACTGTGGTACCCCAGTGCTACCATATTTCTGGGGACAGCATCTCCCAAGTGATTTCTACTCCTTTCTAGAGCAGCCTCCCTTCTGGTCTTGGGGCCATTTGGAGGCGTCCCCCGCACCACACATGACGGGTGCACCGATCCTTGGGTCCCTGCTCTTCTCATACACCGGTCCCTGGTCTTTTTTCTGATCTGGGTGAGGATTCTGCTATTCAGGGGAATGAGCCCTGGGTCTCACCTACCTGACCTGGCTTAGAGGTGCTGAATACTCAGATAGGTGGGTGGGTAGACTGAAGACAGGTCATTTCTTGTCATCTATGAGGCGACCCCCTTAGCTGGGTCATGTGGGGTCATCTAGAAATGGAGGGGGCAGCATGCAACGGTTCTCACCAATATTATGGTGCCACACTCTCTGGCTGGGTGAACTCTTTCATCTCCAGCCTACTCAT